CTACCTGGCTCTCCAGGAATAACCATGCCTGGGTCACCCTGCAACACAGAGAGAAATGGAAACAGTTCAAGTGTACTATGTTTTTGCAAATCTGCCAAAATATTTTCTCCACTGTGTGATCAATTGAATTCTTTAATTAGGGTAATTTTCTCCATTCCCTCGGGTTCTTCCACATTATAATTTTTCATGATTCCAATTCCATTGATGTTTCTTATTGACCAGCTGCAGGTTCCATACCAGAAGAGTAATTAGTCTAGCTAGCTTTTGAATTCTATCTCATAAGTCTAAGAAATTGCTACTGAGCAATGCAAGACACTTCCCTCCATTTGGCCTTTACTCCACTGTGATGCTTGCTGTAGCTGTGAAAAGCTTTGGACCTGTATCTGAAAATCTGGTTGAAGTTTGTGCAAATACTACTTTTCCTTTATTTAACATGATAGTCATATTTTTATAAAAATATTTATTTAAATAATGACAGTCAGCACCCAGACATGTCTCAGAATACTCAAAGTCAGTTATTGTGGTATTTTTAATCATTCTGAATGTTGTTTTCCATGAAGACTGTTTTATTACAAATGTCCCAAGTCTATTCCCTGAAAGGAAAGTTTGATTTGTGGGGTTTTTTTTAGGGTTGGTTGGTTTTTTTTTTTTTGGCTGACTGAAGTGCTGGTTGTTTTGAGTACTAGCTTTGAGTACCAGCAAATCAGTACATTCATAGAGCAGGTCAGTAGAGCTGAGCTAATTACCAGTCACTGATGATATACTTGAACCACAAAGGCCACTCCACACCCAGCTGTTCTGTGGCATCAAACACAGATTAAATAATAGTTGAAAAATAATCCACAACCACAAGCCTCGCACTTTGTCATGTCAAAAAAACACACAAAAGAATGACATATGAGCACACAAAAACAGAAATGCCACCTTTTCAAAACATTTAGGTGTTATTATTTTGTTCAAATTTGAATCTTGATTACAGACTAGTCAAGAATCCTGCATTTACATATGCCATCAGTAGATCAGCTTCTGATAATCAGCAAGAGTGGCTGCAGTATTACCTCCAACCAACTTCCTTTATACGTCAACAGAGCACTTGCTTAAATTAAATGTATACCTACTTGCCAGTGACCTCCATTAAATAGGTGCTTAATTGCAATTTCTGAGTAGCCATCTTTTCTGAAGCTATGGCCTTCATTTTTTGCTGTAAGCAATGAAATATCCTCTTGTGGTCTGAAAACTGAGTACCAAAACATCCCAAACACTTGGGGTTCTGAAATCCTGTATCTGAATTTAAAATTCTGGCTTGAGACCCTTTATATATAAAAAAAAATTACTCCATAGTTTGTGTATCACTAGTCAAGAAATATAGGAACTCCTGTTCCTTACACTTCTTAATTTATTTGCTCAGTGTCACATTTAATGAATGAGACCTATGGAAAAGTCTGTGCTGTATTTCTAACCAAACCTTTTCTCCTGGTTGTCCTAGGTTTCCAGCACGGCCTGGATCTCCAATCTTTCCCTCACAACCTGGCGACCCTCTGCCTCCTGCAAGTCCTTTATCTCCTGCAAAAGGAATTAAATGGCAGTACAGATGCTACCATTATCACCTTATTTTACAAATGAGTATTTGTATGGATGCAGTTACGAGCCTCTGACACTAAAGTAGCTTACATAAGATGAAGACAGCATCTTGATTTCAGAGTTTATGTGACACACTGCATCTTGTTCCTTACACGTTCACTCAACGTTGACCATAATGCTGCTTGGTTACTTGCTTGAAATCAGTTATTTAACATGTCATTTTCTTAAAGTGAAGCTATTCTGATGTCCCTACTGTTTTCTTTAACAAGCAGCTTGGTAGTAGTTTTAGTATCAGAGCTTTCTTCTTTTTCTTTTTTCCCCCGTTCTGACAGGATTGAAAGAATAGTTCTTAATATCTCTAGTGGCCAAAGAGGGATACGATTTTGCATGAGGAATGGCCAAATTTGCAGTATTCAAAATGCTTTCTATTATCTACACATTAGAGCAAGTATTGCATTGTACATAACCAAAATTGAGTGAAAATAAAGTACTGGCACTTATACAGCTCTGTCTCTGTAACACATATCCAGGTAAAGAGAATCCATTTGAAGTAAGCGTGGCACTTAGATGAGCTGCACCTGTTTTGGCAGTATTCCAGGATTCATCAATGTCTTTTAAAAAATATTTTCCTACTGCCAGCTTTGTACTTAATTCTCTGAAATGCTTCAAAAAATTTCAAACTTGCAATCTATACATATTTATATATATATTTTTATATATATTTATACATATATAGATATTTTAATATATATTGCTTTAATGTGGACTAAAAAAAAAAGTAGATTTTTTTTGAGGTTTGGTTTTGGTTTTTTTTTTAAGAAGATGATGATCAAAAAGAGTATTTTTACCTTTTGGACCTGGGTTTCCAGGAAATCCAAGCCCTGGAAAGCCTGTGTCACCTGTTGGCCCTGGATGTCCTGAATCACCTGGCTGACCTCTTGCTCCAACTCTACCTATACAAAGAAAATAAGTAAACTGTGATGTATCTTACCACAGAACATCAACTTTTAAGATTACATGTTTTATAGTTTATCATTATTAATTAGGACACCACTGTAGATTATGTTAGAACTTAGACACTATTTCTCCTCCACAGCAGGTCTTCACAGTTAAAATGCTAATTTTAAAGGCAGAGTATAAAGGCAGGCATAAGTCTGTGACGTAAGTTTTTATGCAATGTGCCCAAATTCCAGACTTCTAGGAACAACTACATGCAGATACAAATCTTCTACTTGTTGAGAATACACAAACATGCATTATAGGGGTGAGGCTTTGAACAGAAGCAACTACAAGAACAGAAGCTACCATAAAGTAGCCAAGAAATTTTCCTATGCTATTCAGGGCAGCTTTAAGGAGTATTGTTCTAAAAAATTCAAAGCAAAGATGCCTTATAGTTAGCCTGAATGTTACTTACTGTCCTTTAGTACATTCAAAAATTCTGCAAAATTTAAAACACCAGCAACCAAAAAAATCCCACCTAGAACCCAAGTCCAAAACCCATACAAAAAAGGAAACTCAGATTCTTAATATCTTAGAACACTGGTTAGTAAAAGTCACGTCAAAAAGGAACCAGGAAACTTAGCAATAGAGTTACTTTTTTGACTGTGCCCCTGCAAAGCATGAGAAGGACCAAGGGCTTCAAGATGATTAAGAATGCTTTAACCTGATTTTGTTCCTTCTCTTTGTAAGGTTGCAGCAGTCCCAGTATAACTTAGGATAGGTTTTTGTCAAAATTATGACAGAGGCACCTTTCTGGATATACAAGCTGCGGCGTATACACCAGATGTTCCTGGTTCTTGGAGGAACCAAGATATATCATAGGTCTGCTTGGAATCTCTGCCATACTGCACAGCACAGATTTCATAGATTTCTAGGTTGGAAAAGACCTTAGAGATCATCCAGTCCAACCGTCCCTAATCCCCATTAAACCATATCCCTAAGTAGATCATCCACCCTTTTCTTAAACACATCCAGGGATGGGGACTCATCCACCTCCCTGGGCAGCCTATTCCAGTGATTGACAACCCTTTCAGAGAAGAAATACTTCCTAACATCCAACCTGAATCTCCCCTGACTAAGCTTATACCCATTTCCTCTTGTTCTATCACCCATCACTAATGTAAAGAGCCCTTCCCCCACCTCCCCACCATCCCTTCTCAAGTATTTGTAGGCTGTAATCAGGTCTCCCCTCAGCCTCCATTTCTCCAGGCTAAACAGCCCAAACTCCCTCAGCTGCTCCTCATAAGTTTTATTTTCCAGCCCCTTGACCAGTTTAGTCGCCCTTCTTCGGACTCGCTCCAGGAGCATGGACATGGCCCTTCTATATTCACATCCACTTCCTCCAGATTTCTTAAAAGAGAATGCTACAGCTAATTCCATGGTTTCTGTACCACAGAAATCCTTTTATAATTATTTCAAAGAAATCCAACAGTTTTATCTGATCAGAGCTGGGAGAGAAATTCCAATCAGATTATCTCTGATTTTTACTGTATTTAGTGCAGCTGTACCTACCAGGCACTCCTGGGGGTCCAGGTAAACCATCTGGTCCTTGAGGTCCTGGCAACGCAGGTAATGGAGTTATCCTACTGGTCTCTCCTTTCAGACCTTCAGCAAATACATAATCAAAGATTACAAAGGCTGATAGTTTGGTGATATGTAATCTTAAGCATTTAAAAATATTAATAATCAATCTACTTGGTTAAAAATGCAGTCTTCTACAGTTTCCACATTTCTGAAACTCCAACAGACTTCAAAAAGCCTTCAGAAAGCAGAAGAATTTTACTGACACCAAGCCCACCTGCAGCCTTCCTCTCAGCCCTCCTGCAGTCTACTGTGGTCTCAGAAAAGGAAGCACAAAGTCAGCAGGAAGATGACGCAATCGAGAAAAATTTCATAAAGATTTAATGGGTATTCTCTTTAAGAAATAGTGACTGTATCTGCCGTCCAATTTTGAGTTCTTCCAGATTATGCTTGCCTATAAATATATACATTGCTATGTTTTCAGCACTCAATAATAAGTCCTTCCTATTTTCCCTTGATGAATTAGCTCACACTAATGACGATGACTGGATACACATTCAAAGACTTTTTCCTTTCATGACGAGGACAGTCAAGCCCTGGAACAGCTTGCCCAGATACGATGTGCTGTCTTGGTCCTTGGAGGTTTTCAAGGCCCAACTGGATATAGCCTTGAGTAACTTGGTCTGATCTCATAGCTGACCCTGCTCTGAGCAGGAGTTTGGACTAAGGACCTCATAGGGTGCCTTTCAACCTCAATTATCTTATGACCCTAAGACTTTTACTACTATCTGCAATGGGACTGAAGTTGAAAAAATTCTGTGGAAATCTCATCCCAAGAAAAACTTCCTATGTTTCATAAATTATGTCTTTGACTTCAAACTATCTCTGCAATTTAAATCAAGTGCTCTTTTAACATCGTACATGTACATGGTAACATAGGAAGTTACAAACCAACTTCTCCAGGTAATCCAGGTGGACCAGGTATTCCTTTAGAGCCTTTGAAACCTCTTATTCCTTGTGGTCCATATCCTGGCAGTCCAGGAAGCCCCATCTCTCCAGGAAGACCAGGACTGCCAGGCAATCCAGGTAGTCCTCTGTTTCCTTTTGAACCAGCCAATCCCTATTAATGATTACATATGTGTGTATATCAAACATTACTTGCTTTCCACACCAGCTTTCATAACAAAATGCCTGATATAAATTTTAATACCAATGGTTATAAACAGAGAGCTATTAAAAGTGAAATTATACAAAAAAATACAGCAGCTTGATTTTTCAACTGCTGTGGCATTACACTGTACACCTTTTTTCTTTTTAAAACAGGTTTGGTCAAAAAAACCCTTCAGCTCTGATTCTCCCTGAACAGTCGGGTCAGGTTTAGAGGGTTATATCTGAATCACTTCTATGGTTTCTCAGCCAGCGCAACGCAACAATAATTGTTACTTTTCGTTTCTGCTGAGCAAAGGGCTCAGCCCTAATGATTCTAGTTTTATGGTCAGTCTTCCCAGCTTTTGTGGTTTCTCTCAGCCCTGACTGAAGATTAACTCCTAAAGACTGAACGGGAATATTATCTAAATTATTCTTTCCTTTAAGCATTATAAGTTGTCAGGAAATCTTTCTTTTTCTTTTTTTTTTTTTTTCCCCAAAAATCTTACTCATCATAGGAATCAAAGATAATGCTCCAATATAACCAACCAAACTAACACCAAAATAGACTGCCAAGGTTTTTCACCAACATGTATCTACACTAGCCTCATCTCTCTCATATTACATCAGAATATTTACTCTCATTCTTTCATACATATTGGTTCTGGATATTGGTTGCTATAGTTGAACACAGTACCCCTAAGTCAGGTAGATGATATTCAGTGAAAGTATCTGAATAGATAAAACAGACTGTTTTACAAGATATAAATACTGACTTGGGTTTTCACGAATTCTGTATTAATTGCAAACAGTGCATACCCACCTCTTCACCTTTAGAACCCTTGGATCCTTTAGAGCCAGGTTTTCCCAGAAATCCACTTGAACCTTTTCTTCCTTTGTCTCCCCTGGCTCCTGGATCTCCTCGCTCACCCTTTGGCCCTTCTGGATACACGTATCCTGGTTCACCTTTTGATCCTTTATGTCCTTGATCTCCTCGAAAACCTGGAGGTCCCTGGAACAAAGCAATCAAAAGAATTTCAGTGCTAGATATATGTCAACTGTTTTCATGCTTTCTTTTTTAAATTAAATAACTGAAAGTGGTTCTCTTTATTCTCATCTTTATTCACTGTAATGGCACACTTCAATGAACAGGGATTTTGATGTGGGTTTTTTTTTTCCTTTTTATCCTGCCTTTACTCCTTTTGGCCCTGATAATCATTTCATTTATTCTACTACAAGCAGGAATAATGCAAGATCATTTAATGCATCAGACTCTTACCTATCTCTCGTGCTTTGGTGGTACAAAAAGAAGGACAAGAAAGTACCTTAAAATCTAATTAGAGATTTCTCCTTCACATGGGAATACCTCCCCAGGGACTCTATAACAGCCACCGCTGGCTCTGTTGTTAGTTAACTTCTCTCCCTTCTTTCCCCCTCAGAGTACAAAGCAGATACTCCATCCCAGCCAAAACCAGTAAAAGCTGAAAGTACACTGGGCTCTAATGATCTTGGGCTCATGAACTCTTGGGAGCCTTCTGGAAAAACCTGTTAGCAGACTCTTTCATTCTGCATCTGTATGGCAACCACCACAATGAATACTTCTGTGTGGCTTTTTTTTTTTTTTTAATTGGACAGCACCAACTAATTTCCAACAAATAATTACTACTACAGACAAAAGTTAGAACAACCAAGTGGTATGTCTGTGTCAGCAGGTGTCAGATTTCCCTCTTCATAATGTTTCCCAAGGGGGAATGTCCTTTGCACCCCTGAATAAGGTATTATGAGAAGCAAGTTTCTCTGCACAGCAGGGGCTTTAGTAAGTCCTGAGTATGCTGGAAACAAGAGAAATAAGAAGTCTGATGATGATCACAGAACACAAAATTCTATATATGCTTTACAGTCACTGCAATGATCATACAATTATGCAGATGAACGGAAGTTAACTGTAAACTACACATAGCAGTCAGAACCAGTAGTCTAGCCATCATGAAATACAGTGCAGGTTAATCTCACGGTATTTAACTGCCTCACTGACTGGGCTGAACTTCTTGCTGCACCGAGCAAAACAGGTTCATGTAAAGCTAGGTCAGCCATGTCCACAATACAGTCTCTACCTAGGCCTTCCATGCAGACACATTCATTACTACAGAAAGAAAACTGTTGAGATCACCCAGTATGACACTGCATGTAACACCAGTCATGAGGTTTCTCTGAAATAATTCATGTAGGACCTGACAAATAAACTGAAAAACCCAAGTCTTACTTGAACTCCTGGAAACCCTGGTGCTCCTGGAGAACCCGGAGAACCTTTTGGACCTGTTGTTCCTTCTCTACCTGCAAAAGAAAACAGCATGTTTTGTACAGAAAAATGAAAACAAGGACATGGATTTTGACAAGCTCCGATAATCACACTCAGCACTGAATGTTTCTGCTTGTTACATTGACTGCATCATGATAGACTGACCTGGCTTCAGGATGCATGTAAGCCTATTGGCATTCTGGCTTCACCTCTTTTAGGGCTTGTGCTCATATCAGCAGATACAGCGCTCACGCTCATCACAACCTTAGGGATAGTTCAAGGACTGCATGCTGCAGACATGCCCATACCCTATTCTCATGCCAAAAGCAAAATAACTGGAATTTCCTACTATCCTGTTACAAACAACAAAATAATTTACCAGGCATGCCATCTTGGCCATGTGGCCCAGGAGAACCAGGAAGACCAGGTATTCCCAGAATATAGCTGCAATCAGTACAGACGAAAGCTTCATCACCTAGAACGAAAATAATTCATTAGTTGTTCCACATTCCCAAGCTTAACTAATGTGTTATATAGTTTTTTATAAATGATGGCTACGACTTTTTGGCCAGAGAACGGTAGGAATAGCCTTAATTTTGTTGGAAGATCTTTTCCAACACATTACAAAACTACCTGTGGTTAGACAGTGAATCAGAACTGATTACATTTAACTGGAAATCTCTTGATATTTTTACCTCTAGTTTTAGTAAACCATTTGGATATAGTCACTCTACTGATAAGCTAAATTCTCTCAAAAGAAGAAAGGGACATAGATTATGGCTCCATAACAGCCTGGGTGACTAATGACTGGCAAGTGACAAAAAGATTCAGCAGCTCCTGTGGTGACATCTGCAGAAGAAACCTTCTCTCAGAGAACAACTGTTAGGGTTGAACGTAACAACAGGAGAATATGAAATTCTACCAGCCTGTAATAATTGTTTGTCCTAGTGAAGAACTACACCTTGGCTGCAGTGCTGTACAACTGGCGTGCAGCACTGGCACATGCACTGCTCTTTTAGCTGCTGTTTACGGTAAGGGGAGGAAGACACCTTGCTGTCCCTAATGAATTTTCTTAAGTCTCTGAACTCATCAAATGGCTTAAGAGGTAAATTACATTCAACATTTCATGAAGATCCATGAAGATTACTGGATTGTACAATCTACTTCTGAGTGATAGTTTTCTGAAACTGACCTTTCATGCCCATATCTCCTGGAGGTCCTGGAGGTCCTGTATACCCTGGCTCTCCAGGAAGTCCTGGTGGGCCTGTTCTAAATGTTACTTTACCTGTTAACGAAATGAGCATGATGCCATTATATCATCAGATTATTCAGATAATTTTCTATTTGCTAAGAGAGAAAAAAGTTGCAGGGTTGAGCTGGAGGCAGTATTCTGATCCTTATGGGTCCCTTCCTACTTCAGATATTCTGTGATTCATTTAAGAGAGAGAACTACCTGGACAAATCCAAAACACCTGTAATGAAGTACTTGAGGATAAATATGGTAATGCCAAAGTAAATCTCAGCAGACTGTTGAATCTGTCTGTCTAGCCTTTAAAAAAGCATAGTCTCTTCTGAGGAAAGTATTTCTTTTTTATTTGAATCAACAGAAAGATAATTCTTTTGTTTACCAGAAATGGAAAGGAAACTTTTCTTTTAATCTTAAATTATGAATGCTGCTTATGTGTATTTGATAGAATTATTCTGGTGTATTTACTATTACTGTGGAAAAACAGAATGTGTATTGAGCTCTTCCTAAGGTAATATATTTGAGGGATAGATATATTTTTCAAATAGAGAGAAAAGAGAAGCACTACATTGGTATTGGTTCAGGAAAATTTGTTTTGGCCATAGCACATATAAAAGAAATATGATGCTGTTGGTACTCCTAGTTAGTACATTTCCTAGAAGTTTTATAAACTGCTACTGCTTTATTTTCATGCTGCCAGAACTCCAAACCTGCTCTAAGGCCCACTAAGACCTCTGCAGACATGCAAGTGATTTATTTAGCTTTCAGATTTGTCCCTTCTGAATTTAGTTTTACAGATTTACTACAACTTTTGGAAGAATTAATTTTAAGAATAGATTCTCTCTCATTAGTCTTTCCTGGTTTTATGTACCAGATTTTTATAGTCACACTTATACAACAAGGTGAGAAATCTTTATACTGGGAAGTCATTGTATCTTCTCCATGGAACCTCATTAGCAATGGAGCACAGAACTTCACTTCATGAATATACTAAAAGAAAATTTCCAAAGAGAAATTCTGTTCAGCCATATTACTCAAAATATACTTTGTATATATGTATTTATATAACCTTACACATTAGACATTGAGATGACTCTGGATTTGTTCTTGTTCATTATATATATAATGATACTGAAATGTCACCTGGTTCTCCTGGAGGACCTGGTAATCCAACAGAACCAGGTCTGCCAGTAATACCAGGTAGTCCTGGAGGGCCTACAATACACAAGCCAGTTTGTCCTTTCTCTCCTTTTGTTCCTTTCGGCCCAGGAAACCCTGGGGGACCTCTCAGACCAGGTCTTGACACACCTAATCAAAGAGGAAAAAATACAAAAATTAAGTTAAGAAATGGAATTTCAAAGTAAAGTAAGTACTCAATAGGATAAGTGAGAGACAAAACATACTGAGTTCACCCCACAAATATTTTTTATCTTGTAATATAGTGAATAATCACAATGACAATGTAAAGACATTTAAAAATGATCTTTAACAAGTATTCTGTAAATACTTGGCCCATCAAAGCTTCTGGGTGACAATTTAGTGATTCTTTATCACTTAGAGATATGTTTAAAGTCATCTTAAGTTAAGATTCCACTAAGATGATTCAATATAATGGGCAGGGAGAACAAATGTATTTTATTGTTGATACTGGACCATTACACGTACCTGGTCTACCAAAATCTCCGGGAGGACCCTGTGGCCCTGCAAAAGCAATGTATTTAGAACTTGAGTGAAACCACTGTATACTCTGCAAAGTCACTACTCATTAATATTGACTGCAAACTTTGGGCTTCTGCATTTTAAGCTTATTTTATTTTTTAAGAGTTCAGTTTTGCCTGAGTAGACATCTACTACTTATGCAACTGTTGCATACTGACAATTCTCATTGAAATCTGGCAAAATATGTATGTTTACAACATGTAGGAATAGGATCTGTCACATTTATCTTAGGTGGGGATGCACTTAATAACTTGAGAATGACTTACAGGCCTGCAAACTTGCTTCTTTTTGCTACTACTATTTGCTCTAGTAAATACACCACCTCTTAACAATGCATTAATACCTTTGCAAGGCTCAACATTCCTGTTGCCATCCTTTGGAAGTAAGTAAGTAGGTTTATAAAAACAAAGAGTAGACACTGAATGCAATACAATCACTTGGATACATAAATACTCGTAAAGCTAGAATACCAAAACACAGAAGGCAAGGACTTGTAGGCTACACCTCATGCTCATCCAGCAAGATGCTGCCTCAGTGTTCAGCCCAGATGTCCTTGTTATATTGTGAGACAGCCCAAATCATAAATCAGTACATTTTAATTTTACAGCATAGCCAAAATAAACAAAATAAAAACTTGCAGATCTTTATAATTTTGGAATAATAGGCAATAAAAATGGCATAAGACTAACTATGAAAGCTACTCAAAAAAAAAAAAAAAAGAGGGAAAAAAGTGCATGACATTTAACAAGAGACCTACAGCCCTGATAGTTTGTTTATGGCATATATAAATAATATGCTGATGCAGTAGCCCACTTAGGTCACGAGACAGGATGTCAGAGAGCTTTGGTGCTCCATTCAATGTTATCAGTGCAAAGAAGTATGCCAGCTTCATTATTTTTAAAAGTAAATATGTCCATAAATCAAAGTCTCAGGATAATTTCAATTCTGCAACTTGATGGGAGTAATTTGGAAACACTCTTGCAAAGGCAGAAGCAGGTTGCTGTGCTCAAAAACTTAGCCTGCAACAAGCTCTTTGAGTGGATAGCTCTTGCTAAAAGATTCTAGTTTTGATGTCCCACTCACCGGGCATGCCACGTTGACCTTTTGGTCCTGGAGGCCCAGGAGGTCCTTCATCTCCTTTTTCACCAACTACATAATCATAATACTCTGTCTTAAGAGAAAGAAAAGAAAGAATAGTAAGAATGAAGAGAGAAGCACAGTGCCTCATATTGAACATCTGGTTAGAACAATGTTATGATCTCATTCATAATTTTGGTGTTGTGACACCATGAGACTTTTCTAATCACATGGTAATTACTAGCAGCCAGAAATGAAATCATAATTGTTATACACAGATAATGCCAAGAGACCTGTACAATAGATGGGGCTGGGACTTCAGCCCAATTCCTCAACTCCCAGAGAACTCCTCTGCCTGCAGATGCAATTATACAGGTAAGGTGTAAGTTGGAGATCCAATCATGAATGTTATGGTAGCATGAAATAGAAAATATGTTCAAAAGAAACATCAAGGAATCCCTTAGTCTATCCTATTGGCTCAGAGCAGCATCAGCTATATCTGGACTACTCTTTTAAATAATCAAATATGAAAACAGACAAAAATCAACTACTTAAATCACATGTGCATTAAAATGCCATTCCTATAAAAATGAATACTTAATTTATTAAGGTTTAATATTATGATGCTTCAAAGTTTCTACAAATGACAGGCAAAATCAAAATGCAATTTGCTGTAACTATTTTTTTTTTATAATTACGAATTTTTGTTCTCTCTGGATTATTTTGTTTGGGCACTGTTACTAGCAAATCAGTATTACAATAAGTATTGTGCCTTAATATATAAATATCACAGTGAAATTTAAATGGACTACTAATGCACCAATTTAAAAAGAAATAAAAAATTACTTAAAATTAAATTCAAAATTTTTACTTTTCTCCTATTGATTTTTTGAAAAGTAGTGTGGGTTTTTTTAGTACTCTATTAGTATCACAAATGATTTAGCTTTTTTACAAAGTTATTTCTTTTGAACAACTGGGCAGAAAATTTCCATTAGGTGCACATGGGGCCTTTAAGAAAGCCACTAGCAAGACAGCATGACTAGACAGAAATTGTACTCATAACATCTCTTGTTTTCTTTAAAAAGTTGGTTTAGGATTTTAAAATTAACCCCACCTGTTTTGGAACTGATTAGAGATTGGTTTAAAAACTAAATCCTGTGAATTTTTCTAACTGTTCTGTGACAGTTCAATCTCCTGCCAAAATTGCCGGAACTGAGTGAGGTCTAACCAGGCCCCAATCATGCATCTAGCTCTACATGACGGAAGATGCCATCTCTGTGAGACTCCCAGCAACATTAGTGCTTTGAGAAAGTCATACCTCAATTAGAGCACCATGGGACATCCATTATTGCCTTATACAGTCAGTCTGGCATATTCTTATCCTAATGGTTTAGAAAAATGATATGATGAAGATAATTTACACTTACTCGACCACGAGCTCCAGGTGGACCAGTGTTTCCTTTCATCCCCTTCATCAGAGGACAGAGAAGAGTTTGTTTATTAAACAACAACACATGGTATGACATTTGGTACCCACTGTTACTTCAGTACATTAAAGAACTTCTGCTCCTGATCAGTCCTTCACCACCTCTGTCTCTGTTCCTTACACAACTATTCAGTCACATGCACCAAAAGCTACAGGAACACATCAGCAGACATAGACAGACACCAGTTCAAACACGTGATCTATTTCAGCTGATCCATTCCCTATTCCATGATATCATTACTTGTTATCTTTTAGGTAAAGTAAAACATTGTATACACAGTGATAAATAAAATTATATAATAACCCCAAAACATACCTTATCCTCATCTTTAAAAGCAACAAAAAAACTACTAGACAGTACCTTAGCTCCTTGCCTGCCAGCCAGTCCTGGTTTGCCCTGTTCACCATTTTGTCCCTGCAGGCAACAATACACAATTTCATGAGAGTTAATCTTTTAGCACTGTCATCAGTTAAGATCTAAAATGGAAAGCTTTAATCTTTCCTTGTGCTGGCAAGGTGAATGTGACTTGCTTAGGGGAGGAAATCTCAGAGACTCAGTTTGGGGTACAGTTCCATGTCTGTGGGAAATACCGCTGGTCTCTTATCCCAATCTGCCTTTATAATGACACACTCCACCAATACCAAGGTGGAGTCATTCTGGATAGAACAAGTTTAGGAGGCTCTGGTTTGCTCTCCCTCTGCGAATTACTATTTCTGAAAGGGGAGAAACCGAACACAATGTGAAACTCTTACATTCAGCAACTCCATCTCCCAGAACTTGGTCAGTCTGCGTGATGGTGCTGATCTCAAGAGGTGTCAGCAAGACCAGAAGGGAAAATAGCGCACACTGCTGATAAGGCTTTCTGTAAGTGTATACATGCAAGTAAGAGGGAATTCTCAGAGGCTTACGCATTTGAATGTACTGCTAGTTAGTAAAGTTGAAATGGGAACAGAGCAAAGACGTGCTTTTATCGTGACAGAAAGTTTTCTTTCTGTTAGCTGAAGCAGTTGGGCTTTGCGGTCTGTTATTCCACGTTCTTTGTCAGACTGGAATGCGTTTAGACTGTCGACGAAGGTCATTTTGGCATGACGAAATTATGTTTTAGTAAGATATACGTGAAACCGGCTAAATATCTGTAAGGTCACTGTGACCCTAATGACGTTTTAAAGTGGAACTGAAGTAAATATAAAAGAATTTATACTTAACCAATTGAATACAGTATTCCAAATACCTTTGACAAATTTTAGATTAGTACACAAACGAGATCATTTTGGTTATAAAATGGCATATTTTAAGAATTATATGATGACAAGATGACAGTTTTAATATCTATCAGTCATCTTGTATCAGGCCAAGGCAGCTGTGACCTTGACAATAACTCTTCCTTGTAAAAGAATGTCTTTGATTCTAGTGATGAAAAATTATCCATTTCACTTCTTGATTTATGCTGAAGTGAATGTATAACTCTTTAGCAAAAAATTCAATATGGCTAACCAGAATTTAACTCAGTGGAATTAATTTTGAATAACTTGGACATGCCTCAAACTCATTACATAGTCAGCCGCAAGCAACAGGTCTTTATTTTTACACAGAAGAGACCACATCTGTGAACTGAGCCTCTGTCTCCTGCATAAATCTATGAGGACACGGAATGTCCCAAGGTCAGCTGTGAAATCAAATGTTTCACAGTGTATGCAAATCAATATTTTCAAATACATTCTGCAATGGGAAAAAAAGCTGTCAGAGGAAGATATGACCATGACGAACAGATGACTGTTACTTAGAAAACGTTTAGAAGGCTTCCTTCATTACCGGTAAGCCAGGTGGACCTGGAGCACCTTCTTTTCCAGGTTTACCCTTCAAAGAAAAAAACATAAAATTAAAATAAAAAAATAAGAACATCAAAAGAGGGTCATTGCATTCAAAGAGCATAATAACTAAATGCTGTTCATATAATTATATTTTAAGCCTTCATAAATTTTGAAAGTCTTCAAGGTTATTTGTAAAATGTTCATTATTTGTAATCATAACCAATGTTCATAAAACTCTACAAAACAGGGAGTAAGATATTCCCTGGACATTGATCCTTCTGTGGCAGATTAGTTGAGGCAGACACTGCATCAGCACAAAGTGCTAGGCAAGTGCAGATAGCTTGGTGCAAAATCAGGTCCTTGCAGAAGACAGACAAATGATATAACAATACAGCAGCTCACAACCCTTCTAATGGTGAGCATGGAAAGATACTGAAGGGAAACTTTTACAAGGAATGGGGTTAAGAGACGACTTGAAGAGAAACTATTTAATGAAAAAGAACAGTGTGCACTTCAAAGGTATTGGAAGTAGGGCAGTAGATGGAAAAATGAAAACAGAAGGAAGCAGCGTGCCAGAGGTATCTGATGTTTTCTACACTGCACAGCACTTTAGACAGCCTTCCACTGGGGTCCTGGTATCCAGTGTGGCAACAATACATGTTAAGCAATTCCTAACAACAACAACAACAAAATAAGACAAAGGGAAGGGAGAGAATGGGAAATAAATACGGAGAGAAGCAGAAGGAAATGAAAACATAATTCTGAATATGGATACCTTGCTTGCCACCTTGCAGGCAGAAATGAGGAAAAACCCGTTCATTAAAATCCAAGGTAGCGATAAGATAAAAGCAGGGTGGAAGATTATGAGCTCAAAACAACACAGGAGAAAGTACATTCTAGAAATTTCTTTTGCACTGAATACATCAATGAAACTTAGAATAATTTTGAAAAATATAATCAGACCATGAGTTACGATGTAAGAATCAGAACAAAGCAGAAAAACTTAAAAGATGTCAGAACTTAACCAAAGATAATACTCTGGAAGAGAAGAATGGGAGCTGGAAAGATGTCACCACAGGCTCAAAACTCGCACAAAATAATATCTTTTTCCTAGAACATAAAATCCACAGCCATTTGATATTTTGTGCTCACTGATGTAATTTCAATAGCAAAAGGAAATTATTTTTTTTCATTTTAGAATAGCTAGTCAGTCAATGTCTTAAGACAATTTGTATTTCCTTAGCATTCTTCAGGGTCAATAGGCAGAAAAGCAAGGGTGCTCTAGCACTTTCTCCACAAAGGAGGAAGGGAAAGGTCAACTAAGAAGAGTTCTAAAAAACACTGCATGACAGGACAGGGCTTTTGAAAACAGAAGACGTAATATGGAAGAAACACAAAAGATAGAGGAAGAATAACAGATGTTGGATAGTAAGAACTTTTAGTACTTAATACCAGTAACTCAAATAGAAATTAAAATGTTCATAATGTATAGGAATAGTAAAAATAACAATCAAGTTGCTCTATAGCATCATCATTGTTAGAGCATTACACAACTGAAGAAAAAGAAATCTACAGGAACTACTGGTCTTGTTTTGCTCCCTCTCTTTGTGGAAGAAAATTTATTGCAACCACCAGAACTATGGAAAAAGTTTCAAAATATATATGTTTGGACTGAATAGAATATTTCATTTGAAAATTATTTTTCTTAAATATTAATTTTCTTAATTCTCTGTATTTGGAATCAAGATGTTTTGTTCAGAAAACACCACCAAACATTTTGATTTATTTGGATATTTTAGGGTTCTCCCCGATTACGTATTGATAAACCATAATTAATTAATTCATACAGTTTTAGTTACTAAGAACCTGCGCCTTTCATTGATTAGTTTTTATCTGAAAGTTTGAAAGCTATATGAATGCAAAGAGGTCACTTTCTATTTAATTGTCTTCAAAATGTAGATATACTCAAGTATATTATACTTTAAGGTGCATGCTTTTTAAAATAAACACTTTTTTATCATATTATCCTGTTAAAAGAATAACTCTCATGACAATTTTCTTCATGTCTCCACATACCTGCTGGTTGAGCATACTAATTGAAGTCTGCTGCCTTAAGTAAACCCAACATTTTTAATTCTCTTCTACATATACATTGGCACTATAAAGCCAGTACATGTTCAGAGGAGCACTTTTGTTTACTAAGTTTCAACAGTAGAACCTGTACAGCAAACAAACAGAAGTGCATCCACCATACTGACCTTTACTTCATGTACTCATGGTATGTGAGCCTATAAGAACAGTCATTTGACTTTCAGCTCTCTAATCTGGTTTACTGGATGAAAAAGCTTTTGAATCTAAGAAAATTTGCTCTGAGTGGCATTGAAACAAGAACTGGAGAGAAACACTAGTGCAAAACTGCTTTTCAGAAAAGACTAACGTGTACGTATTCAATTGTTTACTCATACCTGTGCTCCAGGTTCTCCTCGGTCACCTTTTTCACTTTGAGAATCACCAACTGGCCCCTGTAACAAAACCACCCTCAAGGTACACATATTGAGAGACTCAAATATTCTAAATTAAATATATCTTTTATAATTTTGTTACTTTTAAAAAAACATAAAAATAAAGTACAGATAGAATAATATTAATAGATGTTCTATTCATTAGTCCTATTTATTAAAGGCTGGAATAAGTAGTGTAAATACTGGACTCTGAAAAGCAGCATTTACTAGGTAATGCTGCCTGAACATCTGGATTTTAGGGATTCACTTCTTGTCACTTACTGTAAACCCCATTGGCCCTGGAAGTCCTCTTGATCCTTTTTCTCCCTTCTCTCCTTTCAAGTCCTATTACACAGAAAAATCAAAATTTAATATGGTTTGTTGGATTTTTCTGTGCTTACTATAACACTCAAGTTTTACAAACCAGCAATCTTCTTTTAGCAGAGATGGTTCTACTTAAATGATTAAGAAACAGAAACTTCCTATCAGCCCTCCTGCCTAAGTTTATAATATCGGAAAAAAAAACTAGCTCTGCATGTATTTCTGAATAGAGCAAGTTCACAACGACTGACCTGTGATTACATGCAAGGGGAATAAATATCCCCAGAAATGGCAACAAATAGCAAACAAAAAAACAAATAAACCTCAATTGCTTCACTGGAGCTACAGTTACCTCCAATACATAAAGGCAGCAGCTGCCCACGTGATCCTTGCCTCTGTGGGCTCAAGTTTAGGTCACCCACTGTGTAGCACTATTATGTATTGGGCCACATCCTAAGGCCATTGTAAAGCTAAAGTTTATAGATTGTCGAATTATTACCTGGTTAGACCCATGCTCCAAACTATTTATGTAAAGAGTTTTGAAGGGTTTTTAAGACTTAATGCTTAATGTCTCTGAAAAATCACCATTCCTCCATGATAAACTCCGACAGCTGTGACTGGGAAGTGCTCCAGGTGGTCCATATTTGATTTAAACAGGGAAGAGCTGCTGTGCCTAAAAGCTGAACCTTGCTTCTGCATCTCTATTTTCACTCCTCAAAACAGTTTTGATGCAAAATTCTCTTTTTATTTTAGCACATAATGGAGAAGGAGTTTTAATAACTCCATGGATTAGATGCAAATTAAAGAAAACAGAGTCAAGAACAGGCTGAAGACTTGTTCTGTTAGTATGTGAAGACTTAAAACTGTGTATCAACTATTGTTTTTTAAGTTCTATATAAGGAGGAAATGCAAGAATTTTAATTCACAAAGCAATACTTAAAATGAGAGCTGAATCAGAGTATTTCTTTTCTCCAGTATTCATTGTTTTTCAAACACTTTCCATGATTACTCATGTTCCAGTAAAAACAATGAGAAAATAAACTATGAAACGTACATGAACATGTCAAGCTTTTGTGAAAATCCGTTAGCTCAGAGTCCTGATATTTTCAGTGACAAGGCCCCACAGGTCAACACAGCTGTGGCTTTGATTGCCATTCAGAAAAACCGTGTTGATTTGGTGAAGCTACAAGTGATTTACTTTTCATGTACTTAGATCCACAGCAGGTGGGTTACTAATAAGCATTTAACATTCCACTGGCATTATGCAGATGTGCACGTGAAGACACAGGCCTGCGCTGAGTTGGCTGTACAGACACACTCTAAGAAGAGCTTAGTATCTAACTAAACAAGTCTGAAAAATGTTAGGATGGGTAAAAAGAAATGGTACTGAACAATGAAGATGAAAATGTCCTCTCAAAGTAAAACCTAGTCAGATGGCTTATCTGAATGCGATGGTTAACAATTTTACTACCGTTATGTTGTCTGGTCCACTTAATGTCACTATAACAGTTCCTGGTGGTCCAGGGGGTCCAGTTAAACCAGTGTCACCCTTGAAAGAAAAGAGAAAAATAGAGCAATTACAAGCAGTGGGTTCTAATTGTTTTAAATTTCTATTGCTGTACTTTTGACATTGTAAAACTTTTCTGTTATTACACCTAGCCATTAATACAGTCAACGTTTCTTTGCTTGCTATTTATCTTCCAATAAGAAAGGCATATGGAAGACTTAAGACTACTATAACAATCTTCTCCAAGATGAGAAATATAAAAATGCATATGCTGATTTCTGTTAAAGTATCTAGAATTAGCTTAAAATTTTAATACTGTTTGCTTAAAAGTTATATGATCATTTTAACTCTACATCAAATAAAAAATATCTCCTTGATTACCATTTTTGTCTCCATTCGATTAAGTTAATCAATAAAATACATGAACTGGCTTTAGTGATATCCTCAAAACTGCAGCCTGTGTATTACAGGGAGATGACTGTAGCATAGCACTGACAGATAAAATTAATTTTCATGTGTCCTTAACCAAAAACATTAATATTGCAGTACACTTTTTCATTAAGGATTTTTTACAAATGTGCTCTTTCCTGTGGAGCTTAGGAAAAACAACATCCATATTTTCCACTGATTTTAATCCAGTGGAATGCCTTTGTGAGCACTTGCAGTGTTAACAGCAAGGAATGAATCACTCTTTCATAAAGAAGCAAGATGCTCCATGGTCACCTGAGCTAATGCTAATGAATAATCAATTCTATTTACAGAAGTTTTCCCAGGAAACTTCTAGCACATTCTAGGTAGTGATTACAAAGTAAAAAACAATCCCACCATCAGATAATGCTGTTTCAGTCAACAGCTGAATCTGTGCAGGTCAGTTAGAATAACTGTGAGATGCCCCAAGCTCTTGAATAGATCCCATAAGGACTTTCAGACTGACTACACTGGTCCTCCAACTGCAGGCTGAGGCTCTGAGAGACAATATATGTATCCGTAGCAATTTCTAACTTAATGTCAATTATATAGGATATAAAGTAAGAACATGGACGACAAGTCATTCAATTTTTATTCAAAATCTGGGAGGTTCTCTAGCATCATAAAGGCTGACACCAAAAAGATGTTGGCCATAAGTAGTTTTAAGTCTACAGACGCTATATATTTACCAATGTTTATATGCTTAGATAACTATTCAGGAACACTGTGCAAATGATATATGAATGAATTTAATGCTATATGTTAGTAAATATTAACTACTGGTTCCTCTTAGGTTTCTACTCTTCTGTCAGGAAGTTTATATAATTTGGCTTTTATGTGAAAAGTTTGCCCTTAGATATTAATTGCCATGTTTCCATTTTCCAATTAAACACTTCCAGATATATACTGAGAAATTTTATTTCACAGTACTTACTTTCTCAAACATTTCACCATAGTGTATCAGAAAAAGCAGAAAACAGAAACAAAACTTAAAAAATGTTTTAAGCATTTTTTACAATTACCTTTCTTCCTTTGGTTCCTATTACTTTCAGTCCCATAAGACCCTGTAAAAAAAAATCCCATTTTTTTAAATTTTTATTTTTATTTTAAAAACATCTATAAATTGAGTTAATTGATGTTACACATAATAGGAAGTTTTCAGTTTTATTACCAATCTGAGACTACCTTAGGTCCAGGAGGTCCTGCTTTCCCTGGCATGCCCTACAAAAAAGGAAAAAAAAATTTATTTAATATAAAAAATTACAATCTTCAGCACCAATACAGGTGTTTTGAAGTACCCAATTTTCACGTGAATCATATAATTACTTTTATTCTTTCTTCCACCTTTACAACTGCAATTAGTTGTTGGTGGGTGAAGAATGTCTAGTCTAGTTGCAAAATATAGTAGAAGTATAGTCTAGTTGCAAAATATACATCTCTCTTACTGTTACACATATTAATATTTAAAGTGAATTTATGGGTTATTATTTGAAAATTAAAATTTATGCCTACACGGACAAGGATGCTTCTGAAAACATGGACATTATCATGTATAAAAATAATTTTGAAAAAATGTAAAAAAAATCAGATGAGTGCAGGAGGATACGGATTTCACATACACGTCTCTAGACGTCAAACAAGTGCTGGGAGAGTCAGGTACTTGTATTTGTGTAAAATTCCATAGGTTTCTAGGAAAATCAAAGGCTAAAGTAAAAAGTGAGACCTAAATTCATACTCACTGAAGCTCCCGGAAGGCCCTGTGGTCCAAGTTCCCCAGGATATCCTTGAGGACCCTGGGCACCCTGCATATTTAAAAAAACCCAGGAATAAATCTCCTGCCAAGATGATGAGCCAACCACAATGCTAAGTTCAATGAACTGAATAACAAACCGAGGAAAAGCACTGCCTCTGGATTTCCTTTCCATGTCTCAGGATAACAAAGAAGTATAATGCCTCCTGATTGCTTCATTAGTCAGTATATGTTTTGAAACATGAGAAAACTTATCTGTTCTAAAACTAAACTACTCAAGTGAGGATGTATGTCATGTTTATCTGTGGACATTCTCATAATCCATATAGTCCTACTGCTAGCCCTAATAAGCCTTTAATCTTTCGAATATGCTACGCAATAAATGCAATACTTTAAATCCTCATTTTCAAAGACATGGAAAATCAAAAATGTTAATTTTCCTTTTCATTTCATGTCCTCCATTTATTGTTAACAGCCAAAAGAAACGTCTACTCTGCCATCTCCTATTAAACTCCATTTTTAAAATATGGATCATATTGTCCTTTGTCAGTACTCTGAAAGTTAAGCTGGTCTAATCTGTTCAATCCTACTCCATGGGGAATTTTTGCAGTTGAACGAGATAGTCATTGTAGGTCCCTTATAACTGAACTATTCTATTCTATTCTATTCTATTCTATTCTATTCTATTCTATTCTATTCTATATATAGGGGTAAACCCCTAAATCTATGACCAGTTTTTCTCCATTTCTAAAGTATTGTTGTTTTTCTGCAACCTGACTTCCCTATCTCACTTTACTAACACATTATGGACAGTATTGGTTCTGTTGGCAAAATTAATTACTCTTCTCTTAGTGTACTCTGTTTCGTAAAGTCAGAAGAAAGACTTTTAATACATTGTATTAATCAGATTTTATAAAGTTAATAATTTTTTAAAGACAGAAATATTTTTCGGTTTAGAAATCAGTGACATAATTGTAAAAATTACTATATCTATATAAAATGTATAATACATCAAAATTATATATATATAAAATTACATACATTACATTATATATACATATTAAAATGTTTTTATATATATATATATATATATATATAT